TTAGAATCCCTGGTGTTCCTAGACCTAGTACTGACTTAGAACCCATTATGACAGGGCTCTTCAGGCCAGAGCCAATGTTGTTGGCTGTATGACAAAATGATTAAAAGAATGAGCATTGGGCATGGTGGGTTTGAACACCAGCAGGGCCATTTACTGACTGTGTGAACTTGGACATGTTACTTAGCCTCTTTAAATCTATGTCTTCCTCCCATAAATGGGAATTAAAATTGTACAGTCTTTATTTGCTTTTCGTGAAGATTAAATGAGATGGTAATAACGTTTTCATTGGTAAAGGAGGGACAGGTAAATCAACTGTGTTTAGATCTACCACTCATTTCACTCTATTGCAACTTTCCACTTGCCCCACTAACTCTGAGCTTCCTGTGGTCAGGGCCTGGAATTCCACAAGTACCCGGCACATAAATGCTATTGCACCTGGTAAACAAAACAAGGGTCTCCAGTCTCATTTACCAGCAGTTGGTGACAACCTTCCTTACACTCCTGGGCCCCAAGTCCTCCAGTTCTCTCAGGCCCTCCAGACATCAAGATCTTTCTCCACTAAAATACATAGAATCTAAGATAGCAAATAAGGACATTGGTCAAGGCTTAGTTATATTCCATCACTGGAAGAAGCAGATTTCTCGGTCCTACATGGCTCATCCTTTAAGGTTTAGTTTGGTTTGAAGGTCATAAAGCCTTCTGCCCAGGGAGGCCCTTGACTTGACCACAAGCATAGGCTTATATGGGGGATTCTACCATAGCTGTTGTCCCTGTTATCTTTTCATCTGGTCCAAGCAGCTCCATATTGAATATATCAATCCATTACTGAAGTTTAAAACACACAGGTGAGACAAGGGGAGAAGATTCTAATATCCTGTTCTTTCCTTTATGTTTCATTCTTACATTTGCTCGTGGGAACTACACATATTAAAAGAAAATCCATGTGCTATCAGATAATGGGCATATGAAATGACTTTAGCTGCTATCTCTTAACTGAACGTATCCACTCTAGAGCCCTCCTATAGTGATTGCTAAGACCACTGGGCTTTCACCCTCTAATGAAGAGATGGTGCAGTACTATACCCCTGCCTGGCTTGGTAGGAAAACAACGCTAATTAAATAGAACAGCGTCAATTCTACATGTCATGCACAAGTCGCTGAGATCTCTTTTTCAGCTTTCAGATATGACAGCTATCCCAAAACCACTGGCAGGGGAGGGTAGATGAGCAGTGGTTCTGGGCTTGGGCTGTACACTGGAATCACCTGAGAGCTTTAAAATTCCTGATGCCCAGTTCGCACTCCCAGCAATTCTGTTTTAGTTGATCTAAGTCTTGGTCTGGACACAGGGATTTTTAAAAATTCCCCAAGAAGTTCTAACATGCAGGCTAGGCAGAGACCGCTGTTAAAGTGTCCCACCTGACTGAACTGGGTAGAAGAAGGCATCACCTTGACCTTAGGAAAAATGTGCCTTCTCTTAAGATTTTCCCAAATGAGTTGACATTGTCATATTCGTACAGGTGTTGCTTTAAGATCGGGTTACATAAAGAAAACCTTCTGTGAGAACTTGATTTTAGTTTTAAGACAGTATGTAATGTGTATCTCATGCTATTACCACTCAAATGAGAAACCCCAGGATCATTCCCTGGTAGAATTGCTGGTGTTTCTAGACCTAATATTGACTTAGAACCCATTAGGACAAGGTTCTTCAGGCCAGAGCCAGCTTCCCTCCTGTGGTCCCCAGGGGAGCTTTTACTGAGAATTCTAGCCAGCAAGAATCTCAGTTACAAGCTCTGAAGTGGGACGCATGTATCCTAGTAATCACATGAGACAAACCATTGGCGTACAGACCAAAAAACTACTAATTTATAAGAAAAAAACAGAGAAAAGAAGAAATTAATATCTAGTTGTACCTAATATGTGGACTGAGGTGATCGAACGTCCCAATTTGCTCCAGACTAAAGGATTTCCTGGAACACAGGACTAAATCCAGGAAGGTCCCAGGCAAACCAGGACAAATTGGTCACCTAACATGGACTAATGCTAGCATCCCACTTGGTTATGTGTGATCCATGGTTCTGAAAGTGTCTGCGGGGACAAGTGGAAGTTATGCACGAGAGCAGGGGTGATGGTGATGCCCTTGCTCAGCTTATTCATTTCCATATCATATGGCAACCTTTGAAGTTTACAGGGCAATTACAAATGTGATTAATTTTATAGGTGCAACAGTTTTAAATGATATAATCTTTATAATGATATGAGATTCTTCCACCACAAAGAGAATCACTGATTATCTCATGGCAAAAAAAACTCCAAAGAACTGTCAAACTTAAAAATAAATTATTAGCAATTTTTTAAAAATGCAATAGTACTAAATTTTCTGACCTGTTTTGGTTGATAAGTTGACTGTCCAAAATATGCTACCTGCAGATTTTTTTTAAGTAATAATCACAATTTGCATTTAATCCAGCCCATCAAGGTATAGATGACATTTTAATAGTACTTTTAGAAAGTAAATGAATGGGGAAAACTTTAGAAAGTGAAGTCTAGTGCATGTTTAGGAATGATTCCACCATAATGTGATATTATTTCTAACAACAATGTAGGTATGTGTCACCTGTAAAACCCCTTATCTTTACACTTTTTTAAAAAGTAGAAGCAGAATTTTTTAGTTTATTTTAAATTTTCCAAATAAAGAATTTGCGTGGTTTTAACTCACTGTGTTAAAAAATAAAAAGTCAACCCCCTTAACTAGTTTGCAAGACTAGCTGACATAAACTAAGATGAAATTTACTAGCCAAATGTTAAAATAAAGCCTTTGCAAAATTGATGGAAGGAATTTCGAAATGAGTTTTGTAATTTACTTAGCACAGCCAATTATATACTATTTTATTTGGATTTAAATATCTTTGTATGGTATCTTTTTCACCTATAACATCTATTCAAGCAGAGAACTGAAATTAATTGAACTAAGACCCAGATCTTCAAACTGGCATATTACAAAGATTTTTAAAAGCAATTAGACATATTCAATAACATTTCTCCCTCTAAATATTATTTATAGTAAATGAGGTCAAAAGTGCTTTTATACCATTAATAAAATAATTATTAAAATATTATCTATTTTATACTTACTTCATCTTTTAAATTTCTATTATCGTGACTGTTTTATATTGGATGTTATATTTATAGAATAGTTCAGGGATACAATTTAAAAACTACTAAATATACATATATAAGAAGCTGGCCACCCTCTTCACATCGTACAGCAAGTGGTTCACCCTTCTATCACATAAGGAGGTGAGGACTGCAAAGTGCATTTTTTTTAATTTATTTATTTTATTTATTTTTATTTTTGGCTGCATTGGGTTTCCGTTGCCGCGTGTGGGCTTTTCGCTAGTTGTGGCGAGCGGGGGCTTGCGGTGCATGGCTTCTCATTGCGGTGGCTTCTCTTGTTGCGGAGCACGGGCTATAGGCTCACAGGCTCAGTAGTTGTGGCACATGGGCTTAGTTGCTCCGTGGCATGTGGGATCTTCCCGGACCAGGGCTCGAACCCGAGTCCCCTGCATTGGCAGGTGGATTCTTAACCACTGTGCCACCAGGGAAGCCCCTGCAAAGTGCATTTTAAAAAGAGCTTCCCCTACAGTTGTACCTTAGTAAAGCTGGAGAAAAAAACCCCTCAAATCCCTTTCTTTCTGTATCTTTTTTCTGAATTATGATCTATATGGAGAATAAACAAAAAAGACAATGGTGATGATAATCTAAACTGAGGTAAATAACTGGATGTACTTTTGTCCCCCTAAACTAGAAATAAGACACACAGCAGAAAAAAGTGGATCATTAAAAAAATCACCCCTGTAAATATTACCAGTGAAGGCAATGAGCTCAGAGGTTCTCAGCAACTCAGAAAATCGCCAGGAAAAGGAGATCCCTCCAAACTGTTACTCATTCCAAGGACTGGTGTTAGAGGAGGCTGCTGGCGTCTTGAGTTTCCATTTCATTGTGATGTCTGGTCCTAAGAGATGGCTCCCTTTGCGCATAGCACTCAGCACCGTGTACGGCCCTGGGTTCTGACTGGTGCACTCTAAGAACCTGCTGTGGAAATGCCAATGGTTGATTTATCCCTGGACCCCCAGCATCATGAGCAGGTATTCACGTACCATGAATAACAGGAAGAGTAATACGGTTACAAAGATTTTCTTCCTCTCCTCAGATCCCTACTCTCCTGGAGACCAAGCCTCCTGGCCTCCCATGTCCTGCTTGGGATAACTGGGCTGCAAGCACAGTGGGGCTGGTTTTATCTTCCCTGGCAGCCAGTCACATTGCAAAATCAACAAGACCAGTATGAGCTCCTTCCTAGAATGGCACTGCCTGACATGGGACTGCAAGCTAAGGGGATTAATCTGAGAAGAAATAAAACACTTCAGCACAGAAAAGTCTGAGCAAATCTTTATTGAAAATGTTTCCATCTTAACAGAAAAACCCAGGAAGAAACCTAGATGGATGGCTGCAACCAAGATTTCCATGACCTCAAGATAAGAAGAAAGAAAACACCATTTAAATCTTAGCAAATATGTCAAGTACTTTATTTCTTTGCTTGTTTTCTCAGCTTAAACTCCCTTATGGAGATTGCTTCTGCATCTTCTCAAACCCTCAAACAGTAAGCGGAAAATTCTTGCATAGTGTTTTTTATAGGAAGCCAGGGCTTTTGATCAAATAGGCCTGAGACCCCCCCTCCCTTTCCTACTCACATCACTGCCAACAATGATAGAAATTTGTTATCTAAAATGATATCTTAACCTTTTAAATCTAAAAATTGTCTAAATAAAAACAATTCAAGATATCTGTTTGGGGATTTTAGGCAGATACCAGAAATTTGGGTCAAAATAAACCCAAAGCAGAAAAATCCAAAAAAGGCAATTTTTCTCCAAAGTCTTTGATATATATATATATCAAAGAAAGGGTCATTTCCCAGAAAAGTCCATTACTTCTATGCGGAGTCCTCCAACTAATGCATCTGCCTAATAGTGACAATGGTGTCCTTAGCAGACAGATGTGCTAGTTCCCGAAGGACATGGCCTCTGTCAGGAGCTGTGCACCCCTGGTGACAGCTGTGCTCAGGCCCCTGCAGATCTGATGTTTCTCCAGCAAAAAAATAAAAATTGAAATGAAACCTAATGGTCCTTCTGGCTGAGGCTCTAGAACCCCCAGGAAGGATGGTGCTTGGGGAGGCGGTCCTGGCTTCACATAAGCATGGTCCATGGAGGCTTAAGACACTAAAGAAGCACATGTGGCCACACTCAACCAGGTCTCAGTCATCCCTGGGCCTCAGTGGGTCTTGGCCTGCACATAGCCCCAAAGAGGGTCTGGACATGGAAAGATACAGTCAGACATATCCCATCATCCTGTTGACCAAAGCTCAGCTCTCCTTGCAAGCATCCTCAAGGAGAGCAGCAAAACCACCTATTAAAGCCATATTTTCTTAAATTTATTCCCCTTCTTAATAACCAAGTAATCTAAAGAAAACCATTCCTCAGCCCTCCTGCTCGCCCCTCCCCCCACATCCACACTCCATGCCCCCAACCCCCCTTTGTCCCTCTGACCCGGCCCCCACCCACTCTGATGTTCCCTTCCTGCCCCCCCCCCCCCACCCCGCCCCGATCCTCCACCCACCACCTCGCTGAGCCCCAGGCCTTGAGACCCTGCTGTCAAGACTGTAAATCTGGCCAAAGCTGAGAACAGCAAACAAAGGAGCAACTGTGGGAACTGACAGCTCAAGGCCTCTGGCATTGGTTCTGCCCTTGGAGATGCTGGCAGGGCTGGTCTTCTCACAGGGCACCCCATCCATCTCAAAATGACAGAGCACAGGGCATCACTGCCTGAAGACGGCTCAGCAGGGCTGCTGCTCCCACGAAGCAGTGGGCATTGGAGAGAGGGGCCTTCTCCAGGAAGGAAACGTGGCAGAAATAAAAACCCTGGGCCACAGATTAGGCAACACTTGGCATCAAATATTATCTTTAAAATCCCTATAATTCCCTCCCAAAAGGAAACAGAAATGGAAAAAGAAATAAGAAAGAGAGAGTAAGAAAGAGAAGAAGGGAGGAAGGGAGGAAGGGAGGGAGGGAGGGAGGAAGGAAGTCTGGTTTACAATTCTAGTTTGGGGTAGAAACTGTAGTTTGTAATTATGAAACTCCAAACAGATATGAACCTGAGGCTCAATCCCAGGCTCGTTTTCAAATCCCAGTTTCAGGGGACAGGATGCTCGGGTGGGAGCCAGCCCTAAAAGCCTTCCACGGAAAGCGTGTGGTTGAGCGCATAGGTATCGCTATCCTCTTCCTCCAAAAGCAGCTTGTCGATGGTCAGGGAACTGATGGCTCTCCTGGGATCTTCCACGTCCTGAAGGACTGGCTCCGGGATAGAGATAGGGAGCTGGACAAACTGGGGCCCCGGCAGGGCTGGGGCTGGAGGCTGGTACTGTAGGGTGGAGGTGGGCAGCGTGGACAGGGGCTGAGGCCACGGGAAATAGGTGAGAGGTGCCTGGTGCTCTGGGCCCTCCAGCTGGGGTCCCACTGTGGGTGTGGCAGCACTTCTCGTCTGTGATGGGGGAGACATTTGTTGGTTAGCAGCCCTGGGGTATATCCACTGCCCACCCTTGTCCCCACGGGGATCTCTGTTTCCCTCACCTCAGCCCTTTCCTGCCATCTCACTCCAGAGGTCTCCGTCTCTCCCTGCTCAAGGTCTTCCCCAAGGGAGAAGCCAGACAAACTTCCGCATCCCTTACCCTGTCACTCACTAGCTATATGTCCTTGCTCATGCTACTTCCCCATCTGAAGCGTCTGTAGATAGATTACACAGAGGACTGACATCATAGAGCTGAGTGAATTAGAGATACTTTCCCAGATTTCACTGAATATAAAATGCATCCCGATTTCAGAGATATTAAAATATGTGTGAGGAGGGGGGAGGTGTGCATCTTAAAATCAATGAAAACACAGCATGTTAAACAAGCCCATCACACGGCATAGCAGCTATATCCCAAAGCGGCCACTGCTGTGCCCAGACACAGAGACTGTCCAGGCTCCACACAGCAGCTTTGGCATTTTAAGGACCCCTTGGACTCAGCTCTACTAGCCTCCCACTACCTCACCCTCTGCTGCCTCTTAGCTGGGCCCTCTGTGGCCAACCCAGGGACCTCCAAAGGTCAGGGCCGTTCTCCCAGGTCCTCTGTAAACAACATCTTTCACCTGCACAGCAGCCACCCTACGAATCCCAGCTCAAGCCTGCAAAGCCAGGGTCTGGATTCTTACTATCTTCCACTGCTGAGGAAGCAGGTGAGAGAGGAAGGTCTTTGCATGGAAAGATGTGTGTGTGAGAGGCCAAAACCTCCCCCTACCACACTCCCTTCTCTGTCATAGCTCCTCCAGTTGCCACTGTGTCTTGGGAGCAAACTATTGGAGTCACTCAGGGAAGAGCTTATTTTAATCTCCTGGGACCATGTTGCAATGCAGATTCTGGTACAGGAGGTCTGGTCAGGCCTGAATACTGCATGTCTAATTGGATCCCAGCTGACACCAGTGCAGCTAGTCCAGGGACGACAGTTTGAGTAGCAAGGCTTTAGGATGTTTTTCTATAGAATGATAGAGCTGGAAAGGGTCTCAGAGGACTTCCAGCCTCCCAGCAAAGCCTTGTTATTTCTAGTATTTCAAAAATCCAAACAGATATCCTACAGTTTTGAGTCATAAACCTGCTCAGGTCAACTGCGACTGCAGGTTTCTTGGCTCAGGGATAGAATTACATCAAACTGTCATCATAACAGGTCTTATCTCCCACCGATCTGGAGTACCGATTGGCAGCTCTAACCAGCTTTGATGAGTTAATTTACAAAATGGCAAAACAAATAAATTATTTCTTAATAAATATAGTTTGGTTGTTACACAGAACCTTTCAAAGCAAGAGGTGAGATTGATGAAAGGATAAATAATGAAAGGAATGCTCGGTCCTGAAATGGTTGGGAAACCATTGTGTCTACCACTCCCCACCCTCACCCCAGGCCTCTGATATAGAAATGAGCTGCCTGGGAGAGGTGTTGAATTAACTCCTTCCCATCCACCATCTTTCAGGCCCCACAACTGGTTTGCTGAGTAGCCAGGTGGGCATGGATTGGGAGGGCTCCTGCAGCCTGTGCCTGGACGGTGCTTGAGGGGCAGGAGCATCAGGGTGACACTGGACCTTGAGGTAAACAGAGAGGATTTGGGGAACCAAAGCAAGTTCCATCATCAAGCGTGGTTCTGCAGCGACTCATGAGGCCCCTGTTCTACCTCCCGCAGTTTTCCTTGGACTGGAGCTGGATGTAGCTGTAACCACAGGTCTTTTCTCCTCTGAACACTTGGAGAATTCCCATTCCTTTGGTCAAACAGGCATCATTCACATAAAACTGTTTCTCTTCCTTCCTCCATTCCTGGGGGAGCAAGCACTTCCTTTCCTATCTGGCACTTGAAGACGGCCCTTGGTTAGTGTTGTTGGCCAACGGGGCAACGATCATAATAACTAGCATCTATCGGGTGCTTTCTGTATGCTAGGAGCTATGCTGAGCCCAGGAAGCGTTCTAAGCCCTCTACGTGCATCCTGTCATTGATCCTGACATCAACCCATTTTACAGATGAGGACACTGAGACTCAGAGCATTAAGTCACCAAGCTCAGGATCACATAGCTAGCGAGTGAAGGGGCAGAGATTTGAACCCAGGCAATCTGACACTAGAGGTGGAACTCAAAAAATTACCCTGCAGGTGGGCCTGACTCCATCAAAAGTACAGTTTTCTGAAAAACTGTGTCACCTGTTGATCAGCCTAAAAATGTTCTAGCAAATCCCATTATTGGGTGAACGATCACCCCCTAAATAATCTGAGTAGGAAGGAGAGGCTGCCTCTGGCAAGAGACCCCACACAAGTATCACCATTCAATAAAAATTTAGACTCATCACTGAGACTCACTCCCTATGGGGCAGCAGGGGAGACTTAGGACAGAGAGGCAGGAGGACGTGCCAACCCTGAGGACCACAAAGCATGGCAAAGGAGGCCATAAGCCTTTTCTATGAAAGATATTTGAAGTCATTGGGAATGAAAGTAGGCCTCCCTGGAGGATGGGGTGGGCTTAGATGATGGGATTATCCTGGGAATCAACAGCAAGGAAGGTCAGGGGTCTGGAAGTCAGCCCTGGTTCTAAAAGGGTGCCCTCAGCATGGGTGGGTATAGAAAGGCCTTTGTGTGACGTACCGTGACATTGGTGATGAGCGGCTGGGAGGCGTAGGTCAGCACCGAGGAGGGTCCCACAACCGTGTAGCTGGGGCACACGGGCTGCACATACATGTCAGCTGAGTAGGGGCAGCTGACAGCCTCATGGGACACATATTCCGTATAGGGTGCCCATGGGGCCAGGGGCTGGAGGGTGGCCGGGGCGGGCTGGGAGAGCCAGCCAGCACACAGGGCCCCCTCCTCCGTCACTGTGGAAGCAGAGACCTCCATGTCAAGGCAGGAAGGACCTGTGGGAAGGAGGAAGTTACAGAGCTGCAGGTGTCTCCCAGATGCGGGTCCGGGAGGAGGCCAGGGCTGTGGGGAGCTCTTACCTACTGTGGTGTAGGTCGCCAGGGGCTGATGGGGCAGCACCACCTAGAGGGGAGAAGGGAGACCGGGATCAGGGTTCAGCCATCTCCCGCTGGCCCTCTGCAGAGAGCTCGCCCAGAGGGCCCCAGGGCAGGAGGGTATCGGGTGGGGCGCAAGAACCCCCCTTGTTAGAACTAAGCCTCATGTCCCAACCATCACCACCTATACTTTCGAGGGATTGGTGTTCCCGTTTAGCAAGAAGGCTCTGCACTGAGGGAACTGGCTTCATCAACGTCCCAGGGGGAGCCCTCAACTCACACCAGGACATGTGAGACACCTGCTGTTCAGTGGACCAAGCCAGCCGCCCCATATTCCTCATCCCACTTCAAGGCACTTCTACCTGGGCCCATTCTCTGGCAGCCACACCAGGGCAAGGTGCAGCCTCCGTGCCCTCGAGGAGTAGCCCGTGGAGCAAGACATACACCGCCACCTGACCACCCCCAGCCCCCTACACACACACACACACACACACACACACACACACACACTCTGGCCACAGCGGCCCCCTCACCGCGGTCGGTGCCACCGGAGGCCCGCTGCTGGCGTGGCCACGTTTCCTCCGCAGCAGCTCCTTCACGGGCTCCTTCACCCGCACGCCCTGGTACGGCCGGGGTGGGGCCGGGGCTTGCTCTGGAGCTGTGGCTGTGAAGAAAGCATCACTGGTACTCGGTCTCCCTTCTCAGACAGGCCCCACCCCAATGTGCCCGCTCTCCTCGAGGGTCTGCCTGCTCACCAAAGTTGTGCCTGAATGTGCAGGACCACACGAGACTTCCTAGGGTATTCCTCCCAGTATTATCACTCCTCCTGCCCCAACACTTCTACGGCTCCTCTGCACCCAGAGGATTAAGGCCCGAGCACCACCGGGTGATCTCAACCCATTTTCCCAACTTCTTTGTACACTAACCACTATGGAAAGCCTGACTCCAGCCAGAAGGTCCACCTAGACTCCTCTCCACCCACCTTGAAGGTCTCCCCTCCTCTTCTCTACTTGCAGTTTCCCGTGGTGAGGATTCCCTCTCACTTTTCTCGACCTCTGGATTCTTCCTGACCCAAGACTACTACTGCAAGCCTCCTAGCTGACCACAGAGCCCACAGAATTTGCTTCATCCTACAACCTCTTCAACACTTCCAGACAGATTAGTATTCATCACAGGGGGCAGCAGAGGATGGCATAAGAGCAGGGACTCTGAGTCAGATGCCTCAAAACCTGCCCCTGCCACTTTCTAGCTGTGTGATCCTGGGTGAGTTACTAAACCTCTCTGTGCCTCTTAACCTGCAGTTTCTTATCAAAGGAGTGTCGTAAGGAGTCACTGACATAGCAAATGGGAAGCATAATACATGCTAAGTATAAAATCAGGTACAGAGTAAGCATTCAATAAATTTGTAGTCTGCTATGTAATAATTAGTCATCCTTTTTGGGGTAAATTTCTTATGCCCCTAGCTAGGTTATAAACTTCTCAAGGTGAAATACTATACCTTATTTCTCTATATCATCCCAAGTAGCATGTCCATAATAAGCTCAGTAAGTTATTTGTTGATTAATTGGTTGGATGATTATTCAAAATGTGCTGCCGCTCATCTTCCCTTCACCTCTCCTGGAACTTTAGAATGGGCTGCAGTGAATGCTTCCCAGGTTCTCTGTGTCTCCCAGGACAAATACCCAATGGTGATCCATGTGCCCTGGGGCCAGAGAGTATCCAGCCTTGCCTCTGAGAGAGGGTTCCCTCTGCCTTTGCCATCAATGCCAGGAAACCAAAGCACCATGAGCTGGAACACAGGGCTCTCCCTGGCAGGAGAAGAAGTCCAAAGCAGCCATGGCTGGGCAGTGACAATCTACCCTCCCAGACGGCCCACAGCCGGAGGCCTTGGGCCCTTGGAGGGCAGGCCTGGGTCAGCCAAGAAAGGCAAGTAGCACTGGGCCTTACGACTCACATGGGAGTCCATTATCATCCACTGATAAGGGCCCAGGGACCTGGGCTCTGAATCAAAAGCCCGGAAGCCTGGGTATCTATTAAAGCCGGATCCGCGGTGCTGCCCTAACTAAACTTTGCTCAGTAAATACCCACCTGATAAGACCCCAAGCCTGACCAGCACCAGACCTCCAACCATGCTCCAGGCACACACATGGCCTGGCCTGGAAGCCCGGGCAGAGAAGCAGGGGTAAGAGAGAAGCGTCGTCCAAGAGCCCCAGAAACACGTGAGAGTCAGAGAACCCCAGACTCAGATGCATTTATGGGGGCTTCCTAACCTGGCCAAGTAGCAGGAGCGACCAGGGAGTGATGCAAAATACAGATACCCAGGCCCTGCTCCTGGAGTGTCTGATTCCAGGGGTCTGATGTGGACTTACGAATCTATATTTATAAAAATCCCTCAGGTGATTCTGAAGCTCTGCTGGGATTAGGACCACTGCTAATGCATCCCTGATCTCCCTCTAACATCCCAAGAGGAGATTAAACATCCTCTTTCTAACTTGCCCTGTCATAACAAGGGATCTCTACTGGTATTCATTCATTCTTTCAAATATCGATGGGCACTAGGTATACAGCACTAAGCAAGATAGATGTGGCCACTGCCCACACGCATCTTGCAGTCTAGTGGGACAGGCAAGCAATAAAACAGTTACAACTTGTGAAATTCAGGCTGAAGCAGGAGTGTACAGCAGAGAGAGCCAGACAGGTACCTGCACCCTGGGGCCACCTGTGCACCATCATCTTTGTTTAAACAGCAGTGACAATGGACTTAAGAGCTCAAGATACCTGGGGTGTCAGTTTCTGGTGGAAAGGTCTCAGTTGATTTATTTTACATCTCTAAGCCTCAGTTTTCTCATCTGTAAAATAGGGATAATAGTTCCTGTCTCACACGGTTCTTGTGAGGATTAACTGAAATAACACACGGGAAGCTCCCAAAGCCATGTCCGGCAGGCGGTCGATGTTCAACACACGTTATTTTCCTTCCCCTTCCTCCACCCATGTTTACCTTCCTCTGGAGAGTGCAAATGTCAGAAAGCTCTTCCTCCTACTGGACCTGCCTCATGGTAACAAGCACCATTTTTCCTGGCATTACCTTCTAATGAAACTCACAATTCATAATCCATTTACAGCTTTCTCATCTACAGAGTGAGGATCATAGTGGTATATACCCGGTAGGATAATTTGAGAATTACATGTAAATGCTTAGAATAGAGCTTACACTGAGGAAGCACTGAAAAGATGTGAGCTAATATCATCATTAGTATTAGTAGTAGTATCCCTTCCCAGCATCTGAAGACAGACCCCCACGTCCCCTGTAGAGTCTGAGCGAACATTCCATTCCTTCAGCTATTTCTTAACGACATGTTTTGAATCCCTCTAACCTTCCTTCTGGCTGCTTCACTCCTCCACAAGTTCATTTGCCACTTCCCCTTATGATGGGTGATGCCCAGGGGTGACCAGAGACCCCAGGTATGGCCTGACATGGCAGAGAACAAGGGCCCCTGCCCTCCTGCACTCTGTTCACTCATTCTCAGGGTCACCCACAACTACACCAGCTTTTGTTCACACCCGTATCACTCAACCTACACTTGTCTCCGGTTGGGTTTCCAGCTATTCTTAGGCATAAAGTGCAGCCTGAGGCCTTGTGCATTTGGGAGAAACTCAAGGGACAGGGTTATTTGGGGGTCTGAGCATGGTGATCACACTCTTAACTCAGTTGGGGGACAAGAAAGGCCCCATCACACATGCACACATCTCAGACCAGATCAAAGACAGGTATACGGCTCATGCCCCTCTGAGTTGCATGTACACTTCTGGGGAAGGGCCCAGAGGACTTCCAATCCCACTGCCCCCTGGGAAGTGGACACATGGACCACTTGGCTGCAAAGGGGACAGCTGGGCACTTCCAGCTTCTTGGCAAGTGAGAGCTTCCTGCCTCCTGTTGTTTTTGAATCAACGAACAAAGAGGGCTTGGGGAGGTGCTGTGAGCAGAGGTCATCACCCTCTGATGTCTGGACTCCCTTGGAACCCACAGTGTCAACAGGTGTGCCCTGGCACAACCACCATATGGAGAACAGTTTCAAAGTCCCCACCTCTTCCTACTGCAGTCATGAAACTCCTACAGCTCCCAAGGACCTCCCGACTGCCCACCCAGGAGTCCCCAGCCAGCTGCCAAGGAATCCTGTGACTGCTGCCAGGTGAATAGGCAAGAGTGAGGGCACTTCTGATAGTGTCTTTGCAAAGTGCCCATGAAATATCAAAATCTGAAGCCTCAAGACAATTTCCACAGGACCCCAACGGCCAAGTGTACTTGCAAGGTGAAAACGCAGTTGGTGCCTTTCACACCAACCTTTGTGAAGCAGCGATAAACATTTCTAATTCCACAGTAAACGCTGGACTCCCTACTGCTGCTAGCATGAGAAATGAGCCCACAAATTCAAATTTGGAAAAGGAAAAGAAGCTTGTCCGCAGTCATGATTGCTTTGCCTTGGGTCTTCTGAATCCCTGAATAAAAAAAACTAAACTAAAATATGTAAAAGAAAAATTTAAGATTATTAAAATAATTTCTTCAAATAATAATACTAAATAAAAGAAGAGCCAAGGGCTTCCCTGGTGGCGCAGTGGTTGAGAGTCTGCCTGCCGATGCAGGGGACACGGGTTCGTGCCCCGGTCCAGGAAGATCCCACATGCCGTGGAGCGGCTGGGCCTGTGAGCCATGGCCGCTGAGCCTGCGCGTCCGGAGCCTGTGCTCCGCAGTGGGAGAGGCCATGGCAGTGAGAGGCCCGCGTACCGCAAAAAAAAAAAAAAAAAAAAAAAAAAAAAAGAAGAGCCAAGGAAAATAAAACAGGAGATCAAAATAGTAATACACAAGCAGAGAAAGATGAAAGTCCAATTTCCCAAAGTACAGTTGACCAGAGATTTTCATAGCACCGGTCGAATTGCAGCTCCATGTAGCACGCTTTCAAAACCTGAAGCTTTCTCACAATTTATCCTGTGGTTCGAAGGCCCTTTAAGTCCACTGTGGGCATCCAAGTGTCCAGCACTGAGAAAAATCTTTCCACCTAAACACAAGCCTCTTGACCCTCATTGGGAATCTCCTTTTTCAGTCTGAGAAGTTCAGCCCTATTACCTTTCCACCACGGCAAGTCTGTCACCAATGTTGTTTGGGAAAAAAAACAACACTCATTTACAGAAAAACCTATGAATTTGGCCCCAGTGAGGGCTTCCCTTTTCCAAAATGAGCAACGAAAAAATCTGAAGGTATAAAAAGTCAGCAGAGGCTATTTCAGTTCCCCCTGCCGCATACCCGGACATGCTTCACATCACAAAAATAAGAGTCCTGCAGCTGCTGTTCCACTGGAAAGCACAGACCATGACAGATTCAAGCCCAAGGGTCACCTGAGACAGCACTCTGGCTGCATGTGGGTCCTGCGCTTGCTTTGCACCAAGCTTCGGGAACATAGGATTCTACAGATTTAAATAAACATGGCCCTCGGTCCTTTGATAAGGTATAATTAACATCACCAAGGAAATATGCAAAACTGCCAGCACTTGTTTATTTAATGACCCCATGCAAACCATGTTCACACCACAGTGAGAAAGCTAGGCTAAGCAGGTAGGTCCTAGTGGAGCCAACACCCAGGCATCTCCTCAGGGCAGCTTTAAGAGAGC